GATGCGATTCAAACTACCCTTAAGGACTTTCTCAAGAACTGGAACGAAATTTAGGGACGCATGGCTTCGTGACATTTATGGAAAACCATGAGCTTGACCAGCCTTTTGTTCTTTCAAAGCACTGTCAGGTTCCTATAAGGACCACAAGTTCGTCGGGCCCACCAAAAGCCTTTTGAAGTCTTCCAAAGTCCTATTAAAGTCCAGTAACCTTCTATTTGAGGTGAACTTGATTCATTCTTCGTTTATAAGTAGGAGTTCGAGACTAGCAGTAAATCATTTATATGAGATGTATTCATCCTATTTTGTTTAAATTGAAGAAAGACTGGTAAATACATTTTTTCACAATTATATGAGTCGAGCCGATGCTTCTATTAAATTTCACATGGCCTTGCTTTCCCAAAAGATGTTATCATCCCGGCTGGAGTGGACTACAGTTTCCACCTCGCCTAGGTCATTTCAACACTCCACCGCAGCACTCAAAACATGAGAGTGCAACGTGTAATCTCGACATGTTTACAATTATGTCACATTGCCACGAGTGTTCTTGGGTCAGAGGGTAGATGTGAATTTCAAAGAAGGCCAGGCATTTTCCGATAACGCATTCTTTGTTGGGATTGTCGATGGAGCAAAGTAATATTTGCTATGAAAATCGGTTACACTACTTATTTCTATTCATAAGTAGGATAGCAAGATTACCCGTAAATCAGTTATATCAGATGAATTTATCCTGTATCGTTTAATGTGATGAAGGTCTAGATGACATTACTTTTTGGAAAGTAAGTCTGTGTGAAAGTCAACGGAAGCGCCGACTCTACTCATATCATCATGACAAAATTCAACTGGCAATTGCATTTTATTCATTCTACAAAATAAGGGGCATGATCACATCACAAGAATGGTTGGTTCGTAAGGCATAAATTCGAGTTAAATATTTTACCTTATCCTAAAGACGTCCCTTCCTCAATCCATCGTTTATATGACCTAAAGATTGTGCAAAGAATGATTGAGAGCACTAAAACTCATCAATTGCCTCGTGTCCTGTTGCATTTATTCCGAGTATCACGTTTCTTTTGCACCTACTCATCTCCATGATTACTTGCTTTTTGACCACTTACCATTATTAATCCGCATTGGTTCTTGTTTATTCTAACTCATGGGCAAGTATTGTGTTTTTTTTTCTCTTAAAATGCCCCATCCAGCTTTGAAGAGCCTCTTAGCTCGTTCACTTACGCCGATGTTCTTCTCGGTCTCATCGCTTTCGAGGCGTCTGGTCTCAACACTTCTCTCACATCGTGTTCGGCCGGTCAGACAGTGCCAGTCTCACTGGTAGCTGAGTGCCATCTGCCGACAAGTCGGAGCGAACAGTCGAGCGGTTGGAAACCGGCAGATCGGATAGTTTTCGACCCCGTCCGTCTGGAGATCACTCTTATATCCGAGCCTCAGGCCGGTTCAGCAGCTCCTGTGACTCGGGCACACCTCGATGGCAACAGAGCTGGCCTTCCACAACTGATTCGCACAAGTCCGGTTGACCTGATCCCGGCAACCGATACCCTTTTGTCGCCGAACCATTTGACGGCAAGAGCAAGCCAAGTCAGAGCCAATCCTATGCGTCTCATTTATGTAGTTACCAGCCCTCCAGCACGGCAACAGCAGGTGAGCTGTTAATGTAAATGTAATTCCTTTACTCGATTGGCAACATCATGTCGAAATATAATCGAACATGTAAGAAGAGGTCTGATTTGGCATCAATCAGGTTGGGCTCGTTAAAGAATAGGAATTTTAAGAGGTCTGAAGGAACCCTATAACCTGCGCAACCAAAGGTCAGACAGACACTTGCTTCTTTTTTTTCGTTTATGAGTAGAGTTTAGAGACACTTGTTTCAACTCTCAGGGAACACACTCGATTAACCAGCTAGAAGCAGGTACCATTAACTGCTAGTCAAACCCTTTCTTTCGCAGTGAAACTGGATCAGAAGTAGAGGCGTTCTTGGGTTCGAGTCTCGCCTGGGGTCTTTTAGTGCAAAATCTGGTCTTGCCTTCTGGTCTTATTCTTCATCGGCCTCAGTACCATGTGAGTTCGCAACCTGTTAGTCGTTGCTGTATGAAACACAACTACCGGAGAAACCGAGTATCTTCTACGCAATACAATTTTGTTACTTCATATTGAGCTCTATACACAACTGATATTATCATATGATTCTTAGTTGTTCTTGGATAATTTATACAAGTCTAAACATTTCGAAGATTACAGTTTGGTTCTGAAAATAAATTAAATTCATTTTTTATCTCGATTTCAATTATCGGTAAAAAAAACGACTACAAAATTACTTTGTTTATTCAATTCACCTGAATTCGCCTATATAGCACAATGCAACCACTACCAAAACTGCTAAATACAAGTTGTTGAGCTTACTTTCATTTGAATGAAAATGTTTGTTGAAGAGGTTCGAAGGTAGATTACACCAGAAGACGACAACGGATTTCTG